TATTTTATTATTATTTAATAAATAAAATAATAAATTTAGTGTAGCGGAAATTAGGGATTTTGAATTGCGGAGAGATCGTGGCCGTTGATCTGACTCGGATATCGTTAGGAGGGGGGTGGGGTCCACAACATAGGTTTTAGTAAAATTTTTTAGTGGGGTAGGAGGTTCCAGCAGGTGTCACGGCGGCTAATAAGAAAATGACTTGACCCACGAAGAATTGACGAAAATGTATCTGGGTTTGAAGCCTGAGTTGGCCGGACGGCGTGGATCCTCTGATACCCGGGAATTCACTTACGGGGATGTAGTTGATTTGCCCAGGTCGGTTGATTGGAGAAAGAAAGGAGGGGTTACTCGTGTGAAGAACCAGGGGTCTTGCGGGAGTTGTTGGGCGTTTTCAACGGTGGCTGCTGTGGGGGGGAATAGACCAGATTGTCACCGGAAACTTGACGGAGCTGTCGGAGCAAGAGCTTATCGACTGTGACACCACATACAACAACGGGTGCAATGGAGGTCTAATGGATTATGCATTTTCTTTCATAACCTTGAATTTGTCTATTGTGCCATCAACTTCCAGTTTCTTTTTTAAAATCCATTTGCAACTTATAGGTTTGCAACCTGGTGGGAGATCCACTAAAATCCATGTGTTATTCCCCATTATGGAATTCATTTTCTCATCTATGGCTTCCTTCCAAAAAGTTGAATCTTGTGACTTAATTGCTTCTTCAAATGTCACAGGATCAGCTTCTATATTATAACAAAATCTTGTTCCTTCAATAAGAAACATGTGAAATTTTGGACTATATGTTCTTACTTTTCTAGCTCTTTTGCTTCTTCTAACTTCAATGTTTTCTTTCAACTTGTTTTCTTGCAAGTTGTCTTCTATTCTTTGTTTTGAACTTTCAGCAATTGTTTCTTTAGGTCTAGGAATTGAATTAAATATGCTCTCTTCAAAGATAACATCTCTTGACTCAATTATAGTATTGATATTAATTGAATCATTTGGTTCAATGACCATAAACCAGTATACCTTACTACTTTTTGCATACCCCAAAAATATACATTCAATTCCTCTTTCACCTAACTTTTTCCTTTTGGGTTCAGGTACCCTTACAATTGCTCTACAACCCCAAACTCTTAAATAATTAAGGTTTGGTTTTCTTTTCTTTCAAAGTTCATATGGGATAACTTGGCCTTTTTTAGTAGGCACCCTATTCAATATATGGCATGTTGTTAGCAATGCTTCACCCCAAAAACCTGGACTTAAACTAGAATTTGACAACATGGCATTCACCATTTCAGTTAAAACTCTATTCTTATGTTCTACCACACCATTTTGTTGTGGTGTGTATGGGGCTATTATCTCATGGATAATTCCAATGGATTCAAAGTAAGATGGATCATAATATTCTCCACCTCTATTAGTTCTTAGCATTTGATAAATGTCTCACTTTGCAATTCCACTTCTGCTCTATAAACTTTGAATTTTTCCATTGCTTCATCTTTTGTACTTAACAAGTAAATATAACAGAATTTTGAATAATCATCAATAAAAATAACATAATATTTCTTGCCACCAATAGTAGGAGTACCGTGCATGTCACAAACATCACTATGCACAAGATCAAGCAATTTAGAAACTCTTTCAATCTTAGGAAAAGGAATTCTAGTAATCTTAGTAAGCATACATGTCTTGCATTGTGATTCATTTTTAGGCAAGGTAAGAATTAATTCTAATTTAGACATCCCATGCATCTTCTTGAAATTAAAATGTCCTAATCTATGATACCATAAATTAAATGAGTCAAGAATATAAGCAGAAATAACACCCTTATTATTAGTATTATTATTAATGTTCATCTTGAACATGCCCTCACAAGCATAGCCTTTTCCTACAAAAATTCCACCCTTAGAATAAATTTATCTGTCTCAAATACAAGTTTAAAACCAAATTTGTTCAACAAACTGGTTGAATATACGGCACATAATGCACATTAGTGAGAGTGAGAACTTTTCCAGAAGTGAACTCAAGGTCCACGGTTCCTTTGCCTTTCACTTGTACTGCTGCAGAATTTCCCACACACAGCACACTCCCTTTAGGTTCTGGCTTTAAAGTCTTGAATAGACTTTTGTCCTTGCAAACATGCTTTGTAGCACCAGAATCTATCCACCAAGCAATGTCATCTTCCATGAGATTAATTTCAGAAATCATAGCACTGAATTTTTCATGTGATAATGCTGGTGCATTCCTTTTCTTCTTGAGAAAATAACTCTCCCTTTTGAAGTGTCCAGTTTTTGCACAATGGAAACATGCACCCTTTTGCTTCTTAAATTTTTTATTTTGCTTGACAGAATACTCCTTCTTGAAAGGCTTTTTGGGCTAGCTTGAAGTTCCTTCCTCCAATACATGGACATCCGAAACTTGCACTTTCAACTCCTTTTCATTTTCTGCTCTATTTTGCTTTTCAAGTCTCAAAGAGTTAGCAAGATTTTCACGAGAAATATCTTCCTTTATATGTTTCAGTGTTCTCTTGAAATCTTTCCATGCATGAGGAAGTTTATCAATTATTGAAGACACAACTATGGATTCATCCATCTTCATATCATATTGCTTGAAACTATTCAGCAACTTTTCAATTTCTCTAAATTGTTCCATGACTAATTTGTTATCAATCATTTTATAATTATTCCATCTGGTCACCAGAAACTTCTTACTTGTTGCATCTTCATTCATATATCTTGCTTATAACTTATCCCACAATTCTTTTGCAGTAGACTCATGAGCATAGGTATCAAAAAAGGAATCAGACATACCATTTAAGATGCAGCCCCTGCAAACATAATCATCATTCTCCCACTTTTTCCTTTTCCTTGTATCTTGCAAAGTTTCATTCTCATTTTCCTCGAGTCGAGCATTAGTGAGAACATAAACGATGTTGAGAGTTGTGAGAACGATGTGCATCTTGCGTTGCCATCAAATAAAGTTGCCCCCATCAAAGTGATTTAACTTTTGGAAATTAGTAGCCATCTCACGCAACGTTGCAGCCATAATTGCAAAACAGAAAATTAGCCTAAAGATTGTTGGAGAAATAGGTTAGAAAACCTGCAAATGGCTTCAAGGCATGCTGCAAATGCCACTTTCCTTTAGGCTAATTTCACCTCACCAGATCTGGTATGCAAAAGGGGTAACTCGAAATACCCGTAGGATACAATGAAGCGCCTTGTTGATCTTACCTTTGCACTAGCAAGATCAACCACTGAACCGTCCTTTGGAAAGCGACAAAACAATAGTTTTTGTACAAGGATTTCTGCAGCAATCAAAGTGCAAAAATGGGCTGTTTTATTTAGATAATAGTAGGGGTTTGTTTCTGGGTTCAAGAGACGAAGAAGAGGAAGAGATAACTTCATATTTATAGGGGCAAGATGTTTGTTGGGAACAGACGCTCCTTTTCAGTTTATTATCAGTTTATTAATAGATAGTAACTGAGTTTTCATGAAATTTATTCTTTGGAAACTCTTCCAAAAGTCATTTGGTTTGATTTGAACTCCAACTCCTATGTTTCCTTGTCTTCCAAAGTTATCCACTCTCTTTAGAAACTTATCAGAATTTTATCTCTTGTTTCTTACGTAAATGGTTCAAACCAAATAAATGTGGTTCGAATCAAAATTGTAACTTTCCGAATTCTAGTTTTATGTAAATGGTTCAAATCATAATTATATGATTCGAACCAAAGTTACACTTTCTCAAATGCATTTTGTGCAATTGCTTCGAACCAACTTTTTGTGATTTGAACCCAAATCCTGGAAATATTATGAAAATTCTTCAACACATTTTTCCAAATTTCTCCCCCTCACTGAAATCAGGTGGACTAATCTCGGTAATGCTCGCTGCCCCGTTGCATGTTATGCCAGGCCAACTGCAATGGTCTGCAACGTTGTTGGTGGAGGCATTCCACCACCCACTCTTCCTCAGAGCTTCTGCCTCAGGTGTTGGAACTGCCACAAATGTGCTGCCAGTGCCGGTACCAGGAAGTTTACTTTCTTATTCTCCTCTACTCTCCCCTCAAATGAACTTTCAGGAAAGCTTTCCCCACTAATATCTTCTTTGGCTTAAAACAGGTTTGGCATATATTACCATAGATGATGGGGCAGCTTAGACTTCATATCCATGGATGAAGAGGACACATCACAACCCAGGTGTTTAGTTTTCTATTATTGGACAGAGTTTTTTTCCCCAGGAAGTAACCACGAAATTGCCTAGATCACCTACAAAGAAGAATGAATTTCACCATTCCTAGACTAATTTTTTTTCTCTTAAATTACAAAGACTTGGAGATTGAATAGTTTTATTTATTTATTTTATTTTTTGTTTTGATTTTGTCGTTGCAAGTTTTTTCCATGAAGAAAAATATCACCTTAAAAAAAAGGGAAGCATCCATACATATGGAATTGGTATGACCTGAGTGGAAATACTTTGATTGAATAAAGCTAACTGGTGACCCAATTGTATGAAGGAATCCATCACTCAAAAATTGTTGAGGTTAATACTCTTTGCGGTCTTTAAAAAATTTTTGAATTAATTTGACTTTTAGATACACTTTAAATTAATATTTTTATATATCAAATAGATGATTATTGAAAAATTTCTCTCTATACATAATTTTTATCAAGTAGTTTCATTTAAATCAAATAATTTTTTTAATTATCATGGATACTATATAAAAATGTAGGAAGTACTTCTTGAGAAACAAGGTGTACACATTCATTTTATACGTCTTTTCTTTTGCTACTAAATCTCCTATTTACACCTTACATATTACTTTTTTATAGTTGACACTCTAAACTAATTTTTCTTCTTATCAACATGTTTCATAATTTAAAATTTATATAAAAAAACTCAAAAATTAATAGTCAAACCTTCCATTTACACCATGACTTTATTGATAATTTAAGATTTTTTTATAAATTTTAAATTATAAAGGATATTAATTGAAAAAAAAATTTAAGGTATTGATCATGAAAAGAAAAAATATCTAGAGAAAAATAAGGTGCTTTGGCCTTTCTTTTGCTGCCAAGGTGGGTTGTTACCCCACTCCCTGGTAACACCATGAGACATGAGTTGTACGCAATGACAACTTTTCCAAGGGGACTATTTAGTGGAAATTTCTTTTGATTGCCTGCAATGAGTTAAGCCTAGCGAATGGATGTATGCTTTTTCCAAGAGGACCATCTAGGGGAGTATTTCTTTTCATTAGTATAAACTTAAAAACAAAGTCTAAACCTTTCTACCCTTATAATTTAAACATGAAACAACAATTCAACCCTCATGTTTATCCAATTTCAAACATATTTTGAAGAAAAAAAATTTTAAAAATAAAAAAAAATTACCTCTGTTTTTGGGTAAATAAACCATAATTTCACTTGTTAAGTACCATGGATGATTTTGGACAGATGAGTGACATACTTAATGGCAGTAAAACCCCTTCCCCCAACACATAAAGACACAAAATCCTCAACTTAATCTGTTTCTAGGTTTCTTCTAGTTTGGATAATTATTCTCTACAAGACAGGATGCATGGTGTTGCTGCAATGTTGCAACAGATCCATGGTGTTCAGCTTTTATTCACTTTAAAAAAATCTACGCCTATACGTTGCATGCAATTTTATTTTACATTCTTTCCCTGATCCATCTAATAATTATGCTGGTAAGCCTAGATATTTTCCTTTTTAAGCAGAAATGATTAATAGGCTCTCTGCACTAGTGATAAACATTGAAAAGGCTCTTTTGTAACATATACCGTGTTTGAAAAAGTCAATGCCCTTTCTTTATAGCTTGTCTAACATCTTCTATGCTATCAAGGTTGATTGAAGCAATTGGGGACAATAGTTTCCATGGTACAACATGATGCAGTCTGGATTCTTTAAAAAAAAAACACAGCCAATTTCTTCTGCTGAGTGCCGAACTTTGTATTGGAACATTCATGTGTTTCAGTACAAAAAATTTGTAGTCCTGGTTGAGAAATATATACAAAACAAGGTGGTATTCAATTTCAACATATTAATACAGAAAAGAAAAGCATGAAATAGACAAACAGAATTATTTTTTCAAAAAAAAAAAAAAGGGGGACAAGGAAACTCGATTGTATCTAATTTGAGGAAGAACCATGGAACTCATCTAGATGAAATGAAACTTCTGAATGAGGTTCTCTTTCATTTTCCATCCCCAAATTAGTATTTAGTTTTGCAAGTTCTAATACAATTCCCGATTGAGGTTCCCTTCCATTTTCCATCCCCAAATCGGAACTTACAAGTTCCAACAAAGAAATAGTTGAAATAGGCTTCAAAAGCTGTTTTTGGCAGGCAACAAATTGTTGAGACACATATTTCATTGTTGGTCTGGACTTGGGTTTGGCACGCAAGCAAGCCAATGCAAGCATAGCAGCAACAACAATACTTTGGATAACATTTCTGCTTCTTGGAGGCGATAGACGTGTGTCCAATACATCACTTAGCATCACATTTTGCAAAGAATATGGTTTTGATAACAATGTCAACAGTTCTCTAGGATGCCTTCCCATTAGTACTTCCAATGCTACAACCCCAAAGCTATAAACATCACATTTCTCAGTCACAACAATTGTATAGGCAAGCTCTGCATAGGTAAATAACACATTTCATATGTCAATTTAATAGTAAATAGTGAAATAAGACAACAAAAGAAGAATGTTGTTATGTTGATAGAAAAAACCTGGGGCAATATAGCCATAGGTGCCAGCAAGTGTGGTATGATTAGATGAATCAGGATCCAAAAGCCTCGCATTTCCAAAGTCAGAAACAAAAGCCTCTAACTCCGAGTTTAATAGAATGTTGTTGCTTGATATGTCCCGATGAAGGATGGGTGGGATACAGTCATGGTGAAGGTAACACAAAGCATGTGCTGTGTTTTTTATGACGTTCACCCTTTTCATCCAGTCCAATTCCACAGCTTCAGCATCATCTCTGAGAACACAAAACAAGCTTCCTCTTTCCATGTATTCATAGATCAAAAACATGCACTGTCTATGCAGACAGAACCCATGAAGCTTGACAATATTCTTATGTCGTATTTCTGTCAACATCGTAGCTTCATTCCTAAAACTCCTGTCAAAAGTGGGTACCTCTGATTCCCTTCGGTGAAGTTTTTTTAAGGCAACTACTTTGCCATTTGGCAATTGTGCCTTGTAAACACTACCATAGCCACCAGTACCAATGCAATACCGAATGTCGAAATCTTCAGTTGCTGCAATAATGTTTTCAAATGCAATCCTCCCATCAAAGTTCCATATTGAGAACATATCCCCATTTTTTGTTGGACTTAGAATTGCTTCCTTACTTTTTGCTCCATTTATTCTTCGAAAAAGTAACAACAATGCCAGAGATACCAACACAAGAGAAATGGTGCTAAGAAGAATAATTTTAATATGTCTCATCACTTTGTTGGAATTTTTTCTATGTTGAGTGAAAGGAGAAGGCGAAGTAGTGGGGCTGCCAAGAGGATAACCGTATAAACCTGGGTTGCCTATAAAAGAGTTAAGTGGAAAACCAGCCAAAGCTGCTGGGATTGGGCCTGTGAGATTATTGAAACTAAGATTCAAGCCAGATAGATTCCACTTTAGTAAATACTCAACTATTGAAGGTATTGACCCTTTCAAATGATTTGAATCAAGATACAAGTTGGTCAAATTGGTTAAACAACCTAGAGTGAAAGGAATAAAACCAGTGAAATTGTTAGCACTAAGATCTAAAATATGTAGATTCTTCATATTTCCTATTTCAGAAGGGAGGTCTCCACACAATTTGTTTTGGGAAAGGTGCAAATTCTGCAAAGATTTCAAATGCGCAATCTCTTTGGGTATTGAACCTTCTAAAAGATTTGAATCAAGATTCAAAACTGACAAATTGAACAAGAGACCCAAAGATGGAGGGATTTGACCTGTTAAACTGTTTTCAAAAAGAAACAAACACAACAAATTGGACAAACGAGACAGAGAGGAAGGGATTTGACCTACTAAGTTATTATCACCAAGATTCAGAAGTTTCAAATTACTTAGATTTCCTATGTTTGATGGGATGGAGCCATAAAAATAATTTGTTTCAAGGTGCAGGATGCTCAAATTTGGCAACTGACCCAAAGTTGGAGGGAGCGGACCAACAAGTCCGCAGCGATTGATGCGGAGATGAGTGAGATTCGTCAATTCCCCAAATTCTGGAGGGATGGAGCCACTAAACGAATTGAAACTGAGATCTAGAAATGTCAAACTGGTTAATTGTCCAAGACGGGATGGTATTGGACCCACAAACAAGTTTTCAGATAGATCCAAAGAAACCAAGTTCTTTAAATTTCCCATTTCTGAAGGTATGGATCCATTGATTTGATTGTTTGCAAGAGACAAAGAAACCAGATTGGTTAAATGACTGATGTTGGAAGAGATTGGACCATTGAGGGAGCAATCGCTCATGTCTAAGGCTACAAGACTCTTCAAGTTCCATATTTCTGAAGGTATGGATCCATTGATTTGATTGTGTGCAAGAGACAAAGAAACCAGATTGGTTAAATGACTGATGTTGGAAGAGATTGGACCATTGAGGGAGCAATCACTCATGTCTAAGGCTACAAGACTCTTCAAGTTCCATATTTCTGGAGGGATATTACAATTAAAAGTATTTGAGGCCAACTCCAAGTGGGAAAGATTGGTGGCAAGGCCTATAATTGGAGCAATGGATGCATTGAGGTTGTTCCAAGTCAAGTTCAAAGAAACAAGATTCTTCCAATCCCTAAATTTTGGGGAGATGGAGTCTATATAATTGAAAGATACGTCAAGTATCCGTAATTGAGTGAGATTTCCAAGTGAAGAAGGCAATGTACCTGTTAGATGGTTGTTGGACAGATTAAGGTGCTCGAGTCTTGTAAGATGACGAATTTGAGGTGGGATGCTCCCATAGAGTCCTTGATGGCTAAGATTAAGGCGAACAAGATTGGGGAAGGAAGAGAAGTTCATTTTTCTAAACTTTCCTCCCACACTAAAATCAGGTGGACTAATCTCGGTAATGCTCCCAGCACCGTTGCATGTTATACCAGGCCAGCTACAATGGTCTGCAACGTTGTTGATGGAGGCATTCCACCA